GGTCATCATCTCCCCCTCCCCCCTGCCCCCTCTCACCCCTCTCTCATAGCGGTCATCACCTCTCCACAATCCTTTCATAGCGGTCATCATCTCCCCCTCCCCCTACCCCCTCTCACCCCTCTCTCATGGCAGTCATCATCTCCCCCCCTTCTGACTGGTCCAAAACATTGATGATCTTCGTGACACTTACCTCCCCTCTAACTCCCTCCCCCACCCCATCCTTTCCCCCTTCACCCCTCTTTTCCCTCTCTCCCCCCCTACCCCCGTTCCACCCGCTATGACAGATGACAGTCCTCTCTCCTTTGACTCTCATCCCCTCCACTTTGTGACAGTACACGCTTTCATGACGCTGTTTCGCATGAGCAGCCGCCGCCAGCAATCCATCCGTTACCCCCCCTCCTCCTCCATCTTCCCTCTCCTTGATTTGTCAATAACCTCATATTAGTTTTACCCCCTCTTCATGACCCTCCCGCCTCATGACAGCTGCAAATAAGGAAGGGGGTGACTGTGTGTGAGGGGCAGGGGTAGCAGTGTCTGAGGCAGGGTTACCATGAGGGGGGGGTGGCCTGTGCGTGAGGGGCAGGGGGACCAGTGTCTGAGGGGCAGGGGTTACACCATATGAGGGGGGTGACTGTGTGTGAGGCAGGGGTAACGGTGTCTGAGGGGCGGGGTTACCGTATGAGGGGGGTGACGGTGTGTGAGGGGCGGGGGGACGGTGTGAGGGGCGGGGGGACCAGTAGCAGTGCCACCAGCAGCTACACCGTCACCACCTCCTGCTTGTGTCACTACGAGGCGAGGCATTAAATGTGTTTAACTAGCCCTGAAAGAACTAATTTTGAAGCTCATATGATTTTTTATTTTGTGAACTAGGCTGCTGCTCGTGGCTCGGGTGTATCTTGGCGGAACAACAGAATTATTACTCGTCCTGTGAGTTTATATTACGTTCTCGTTCGTCGCCCAGAATCCGGACTCATACAGATTTCTTGTGACCAGACGCAAGGAAAACACCACACTGGTTGACTTAGATTTATACACAAAAAAATATAACAAAACACAAGTAACATAAACATTATACCAAAACTCTTTACCTTAGCGAGATACATTCACTCTACACCAGTTAACTGAGCAAAATAGCTGAGAATTGTGGTCCTCTGCTCGTTAATTTTCTCCTCTAATTGATGCTGAGTGAACATAACGAGTTTGAGTAGAGTTTGAGTGTAATTTTGATGCCAACTTTGTTTTTTTGTTTTTTTAATCTTCAAGTCATCGAGTTTAGTTCAATCGTTCATAATTTATTTATGAGGTTTAATTAATTTATCTTGCAATTACATGTGAATTAGGACCACAAGGATGACTTAAGTTCTTCCTCTGGCTGCTGTGGTGGAGGGAAGAGCCATGCAGGTCGTCCAGGCTCCAGACAGTATACGACCTAACTTTAGAACTCGGGGACGACACCCACAGTAACAATGACCACTTCTTCTTTCCTTTACTGTCCCTCCACGGATTATTATTATGCTATTTTTTTCTCCCCATTTTTACGACGTCGAGGAAGGAGGGAGAGAAAAGAAGGGCCCTCAAGTACCACCTTAAGACTTGAGGTGAGGGGCAGTTCTCACCAGGAATGTTGAGGAGGAGTTTAACACACACTATTTTCCTGGGGACTTGTGTCATCTCCTGCTGGGGTAATGGACACGGGGAGAGGGAGGGAGGAGGAGAAGGAGGGAAAGACTATGCCAGTAAGGGAAGAGGAAGGGAAAGACTATGCCATTGAGGGAGGGAAGAGAAGGGAGGGCTCTATGCCAGTAAGGGAGGAGGAGGGAGGGCTCTATGCCAGTAAGGGAGGAGGAGGGAGGGCTCTATGCCAGTAAGGGAGGAGGAGGGAGGGCTCTATGCCAGTAAGGGAGGAGGGAGGGCAGTAAGGGAGGAAGAGGGAGGAGGGCTCTGGCAGGAAGGGAGGAGGAGGGAGGGGCTTTCTTTGGCAGTAAGGGAGAGAGGAGGGGCTCTATGGCAGGGGAAGGGAGGAGGAGGAGGGAGGGCTCTATGGCAGTAATGGAAGAGGAGGAGAGGGCTCTGTAGCGTGGGGAGGAGGAGGGAGGGCTCTATGCCAGTGAGACAGGAGGAAAGATGAGAAATGAGGCTTCTAAACCAATGAGGGAAAACGATGAAGGAGGGAGGAAGAGGAGGAAGAGAAGGAAGGAAGAAGGGAGGAAGGAAGGGAGGGGTTTACCTGCTGTTGATTTAAGGGATTTGACTCCTCACCTACCCCCCTATCCTCTCCCCTTCCCCTCCTCCCCTCCCCCTTCTCCTCCCTTTCAGAGTTTGAGGCCGTGGAGAGGTCATGAAGTTCCTGAGGTATGTTGAGAGGTACCAGGTGTGTCTTGAAGCTCCTCCTCCAGGTGTGTCTTGAAGCTCCTCCTCCAGGTGTGTCTGTTAGCTATTTTTATTATTGTATTTATTTTTGGTTCGTCGTCTTGTTGTTGTTTTTAAGCCTTTTCTTCTTATTTCTTCTTCCTTGTTATTGTCCTCTCTCTCTCTCTCAGGCCTCTATTTCCATCTCTTAAAAGGTTCGTTATTAATTTAGCCGCCCTGGCTATGTTGTAGTGGTCCTGCTGTGGGTGGAGGAAGGAAGGAAGGAGGTGGGAGAGGTGGAGGAAGGAAACGGAAGGAAGGGGGGAGGAAGGGGGAGGTGAGAGGGGTGGAAGAGGAGGAGGCGGCGGTGGGTGGGCCAGGTATTGTAAGGTAATTACTAAGGTGCAGACTGTTAGTGTGTCAAGGCCGAGGTTGTTTTGTTGCAGTGTTCCCGCCCTCCTCCACCCACACCCATTTTCTCCACCCTCACTCTACATCACCTCCCACACCCTCACCCAACACCACCGCCCACACCCTCCACCTTTCTACACCCTCAACCAACGCCACCGCCCACTGTCTCTATCCACCTCTTTCCACTACCCACCCACCCACCCACTTTTCCTGCCCACCCACCCACCCACCCATTCTTCCATTCAGTACCGCCCACTCACCCTCACCCACCAACGCCTTCCTCCTCCCCCGACTACCCCCACCCATCCATCCACCCATTCAGTAACGTGCACTCCCACCCACCCACTCCCACCCACTACCACCCACCCTATCCAATATTCTGCATGATGTACACGCCAAAAGGATGTATTTTATATATCCCCGTAATAACATTTTACACGCTACGTATATCACTTTAAACACATCATAAATAACTATGTAAATCAGGTTATATCCTACACAAACTGGTCCATTGATACGCTTCAGATTAGTTGACGGAATGATGATCAGTGGTAACCTAGCCTGGCTTAATGTAATTACGTCCCATTGACAAAAATTAAAGTAATAATAATAATTTTAATAATAATAATAATAATAATAATAATATAGATAATAATGGTTTTAATAATAATAATAATAATAATAATAATAACAACAATAATCTACTTGCTAAATACGATAACTAGCTCAATACGATAAACCCCCCAAAACACTGAAAAACTTATCCACATACAGCACAACAATATTGTCCCAGAACACACGGGGCAGTAGAGTGAGAGGTGACCCGGGGGAGTTGGGCCAGAAGATTCCATAGGTATCATATAACCCGTCTCGCTAGTCTTAGATGAAACTGATACATACTTGTGGTGGTGTAGGGTAGGTCTTAGGCTGAGAGCTGCTTGGAAGGGTCAGGTGAGGTTTGCGTTAGGTCAGGTCAGGTTAGTGTGGTTAATCTTTAGGTGAGATAAACTGGGATGGCTATAATTCAGGTCATATGGAGGGGGATAATTCTGTTCAGTTTTCTTTAATAAAAGTTTTAGGTTTGAGTCGCAGAATTAGGGAGGTGTGAAGGCAGTACCGAGGCTAATTGTGTTCAGTATCAGTACGGTCTCTAATATATGGCACGTTTTACTCTTAATTACTGTATATGGCCTTCTTTTATTATTATTATTATTATTTTATTACTATTACTATTTTATCATTATATTATTATTTTATTATTTTATTATTATTATTATTATTATTATTATTATTATTAAAAATCGCAATGGGTTTTTCCTCCCCATATCTTCCCATAATAGAAAACGGATATTAATAAACGGGATACTATAAGAAATTTTGGTGTCGGGGGTCAGCGGTACTTAAAGGTTGCTCGTAAATTTTCCTGTTTGTGCCTCATTGACACTTTCCCAATTTCCCCCGGTGTTTTCTCTTCCCGGGTGACGGCTGTTATTTGTGGGTGACCCTCTGAGGTGCTCGGTACAGCTGGGGTGGTGGGGGGTGTGTTTGGGTACAGGATTAGGATGTTTTGGGGAGCTGTAAGATGGTCTATGATGCTTATAGGTGTTGGATACAGAGTGCAGGAATGTGAGATGGAGTTGAGAGTGGAATTATTCACCCCCCTTGAGTACGATTCTAATCCCTTGAGTACAGTGAGATAGGCTAATGGAGATATTTTAACATCTTGAGTACGATAATTTTAATCCCTTGGGCACGATGTCTTAATCCTTTAAATAAAAAAAATATTTTATCTTGAATGCCATGGTAATGGACTCCAGGGGGTTAAGCTATCGTACTCAAGGTTTACCTTGAGCAGGTAGTTAGTCGATGTGATTCTCCACCATAGTACAGTATAACTCAGAATAAACTGCCAGGTGAATCATTCAAGGAAGTATGGTCCTGAGAGCGAGTACATTGATTATGGGATTAACTCTTTGTTTTGTTTTATTTTATTTTGTTTTATTTTATTTTATTTTATTTTATTTTATTTTATTAATAGTAGTAAAGGTAGTAGTGGTATTAAATAAGGTAGTCGAACCAGTTCTACAGTCTGAATTTGTAGCAAATTTGTTGTTAAAAGTACGTACTGTAGGTAGGTGAGCCTTACTCTCAGGGCAATGAGTGACACTGTTAGCGGTCTTTTTTATTAATTCAAAACAAAAAATTGGATATACAGTAAGTACCTCACTGAGCCTCCTCACCGGACGACTCCTCGTCACTTTCCTGTCGACGGTGTCGACGGTGTCGTCGTTTATGCGGGGGAAGATGGTCGTCCTCCTCCTCACTGCACGACTCCCCTTCAGTTTCCTGTGGAATAGGTTGTTTCTGAGGGGAAAGGCGAGCAGTCTTCACCTCACTGCACCAATAGTCGTCAGTTTCCTGTGGAATAGTTCGTTTCTGAGGGGAAAGGCGAGCAGTCTTCACCTCACTGCACCAATAGTCGTCAGTTTCCTGTGGAATAGGTTGTTTCTGAGGGGAAAGGCGAGCAGTCTTCACCTCACTGCACCAATAGTCGTCAGTTTCCTGTGGAATAGTTCGTTTCTGAGGGGAAAGGCGAGCAGTCTTCACCTCACTGCACCAATAGTCGTCAGTTTCCTGTGGAATAGGTTGTTTCTGAGGGGAAAGGCGAGCAGTCTTCACCTCACTGCACCAATAGTCGTCAGTTTCCTGTGGAATAGTTCGTTTCTGAGGAAAGGCGAGCAGTTCACCTTCACTGCACCAATAGTCGCCGTCAGTTTCCTGTGGAATAGTTCTGTTTTGAGGGTGTAGACGATTGTTCCCGACACCTCCCCATGTAAAGGTGCTCGGTAGGACTTGAGGAAGGTGTTGTGGTTGAAAGTTCTTATTCCGGTGATAAGTGTTCGGAAATATGATTGTTCGTCTTGAATGTAGTTTTGAAGATAATACGGCGTCACTTTAGGTTGATTATAACTGTTTTCTGTCTGTGCCGTATTATAATGGATATTATTTTTATCTTAATGACTTGAATCTTTAAAATAGTGAGTGCTTTGGTAACTATGTGGAACGAAAACTTTCAGATGTTGGCTGTACACCATCCGTCCATCATTCTTGAGGGCGAACTTCTGGCTCTTCTCATCTTGGTATTTGATTTGTGCATCTCCGCGGTGCCAAGTTTGATGACTATTATATGGCATATAACAATCCACCATGCCTCCTTATTCATTAAAAATGTATTTAATATCCTCATATGTGCAATCCATTGGGATGTTTCGAACGTAAACCTCAAATACATCATATTCGAATATTTTTGAGCGGGCTTCTGCCATCTTTAAAACTGTCTATTTAGTGGTTTCATTCTGCAAGGAGTGTATGGATGGGTCGCCCTCAGTGTGGAATGTAGAAGAGTGTCTGCGCTTATTACTCTACTTGTCGTGAAACCGAGTTGCAGCGAACATAATTATAGTACTATTATACTACTTGAATTACTGTACCATTGTTGTAGTGAACATGTAGTACCATTGTTGTAGTGAACATGTTGTACCATTGTTGTAGTGAACATGTTGTACCATTGTTGTAGTGAACATGTAGTACCATTGTTGTAGTGAACATGTTGTACCATTGTTGTAGTGAACATGTAGTACCATTGTTGTAGTGAACATGTAGTACCATTGTTGTAGTGAACATGTAGTACCATTGTTGTAGTGAACATGTTATACCATTGTTGTAGTGAACATGTTGTACCATTGTTGTAGTGAACATGTTGTACCATTGTTGTAGTGAACATGTTGTACCATTGTTGTAGTGAACATGTTGTACCATTGTTGTAGTGAACATGTTGTACCATTGTTGTAGTGAACATGTTGTACCATTGTTGTAGTGAACATGTTGTACCATTGTTGTAGTGAACATGTAGTGAGGACATTAGTACCTATTAGAAGATATATTGATTCATATTACGCTCAGTAATCAAAACATTTATAATTTCTATTTTAATTCACCCTTAAAAACATAGAGATAACAAGTACAGTAGAATGTAACATGAACTACTACTGAGTCCGTAGGTGTAATATTAAGATGTGTATTACAACACGCGCATACACACTACTACTTTCCTGTCACTCGGAATCGAGTATGACGATCATCCAGCTATGATAAAATAATATGAGTTATTATAGATGTCACCTTCGTTGGTGAGCTCTGATGTGACTAGAGAGGCTGATACGGGACTGGTAGTGTTGTTCACTGATGTTGCACATGTAGAGGGCTACATCTACTGCGGGAGGGGCGGCGGCAGCATCTATCCGGCGTTGGCGCTTGACTGCCTAGTTTTGCAGTCGTGCAAACTCGAAAGTATTGACACCTTCTCGTGTGGTCCAGCCAGCTGAACGCTGTAATAATTTATATTGCAGCATAAATGTTTTTTATTTTTGGAATAACGAGGAACAACCTTTGGAATGATGCGAATAAGGTGCAAAAACTGAACAAAAATGAACGAATAATCGAACACAAAAATACCAGGGTACAGGTATTAAACACCGGATACAGGGCTGTAAGACGATGCTACTGTGTTGATTACAGGAGCGGAGGACATGTGGGGGGGGGGATGACAGTCTTTGAATACAAGGTAGAGACGAGATGTGGGTGAAGGGGGAAGGTAAGGGTTGGGAGGGTGAAGGCTGGGGGAGGAGGGAGAGTGGGAATTAGGACGAGGAAGGGTGAGGGTGGGAGTGTGAGTGTAAGGGGGTTTGGGGGAGTGTGGCGTGAGGGAGAGGGGGTGGAGTGAGGGTGAGGGGAGTGTAAGTGAGGATAGTGGGTGCCACCAGCTGGGTTACGAGGCTTTAAGGCCGAGATGAGCACAGTCGTCGAGGATCAGGTGGCTTATACTTAATGTTGAGGCTTAGGGACGTGGTGGGTGGTGATGGTGAGGTGGTGTGTGGGAGTTGTGGTCTAGTGGTGATGGAAGTGTTGTGTGGTGATTATGACAGTGTGGCAGTAACCGTGGTGTGTGTGTGATGGTGACAGTGTTAAGGTAGACTGTCTTGAGGTAGAATGTAGTGAAATGTGATGGTGTTGTGGTGGCAGTGATGGGATATATATATATATATATATATATATATATATATATATATATATATATATATATATATATATATATATATATATATATATATATATATATATATATATATATATATATATATATATATGACCGTGTGAGATAGAGTTCTAAAATTAATTGGAACATCTACGACAAATTTTTCTCCCACGTGGTCATAACTTTTTTTTAATTAGACATTGAATTGAATTGTAACAGTTTATTTAGCCAGAAAAATACAGATACAGAGTGGATAATAATAACAATATTAACATGGCTGACCCAGTTGAGAACCTGAGCTCTCTTTGAGGCACCTGATATACAGTATACTATACATTTATCTCAAGGAAGTATTATGTAACATTTAGTAACATCTGGAATAGTACAATGGCATGGTAGTAATAAGTACATCTCATAGTGTTACCACGGTTATCACTTAAATATTTATTTATTTTTTTATATATACATATATATACATACATATATATATATACACACATACACATATACATATAAATTACAGTGGAATTGAAAAACATAAGTATAATGGGGGAGCAGTACAACCTGGGCTGTACAGTAATAAGGTTGAACAAGAGGACAGAGCTCTCAGGATTATTTCTAGTTGGCAATTATGTTTATTGCAATGGTAATTACTTATTTATTTACATGATAATTTCCGATAAAACGGTTTTGATGGTGCAATAAAAGCAGGTACTGTAAATATAGTAAGTGTTACAAGAAGTATTAATACTTCGACAATCGATATTTTTTTAGAGATGATTTAAAGGAAGGGAGCGTAGTCTTTGCTTGGGTGTGTGGGGGTAAGTTGTTCCATACCTTCACAATGTGATATTTTATGGAGGTCTGGGACTGAGAGGAGCGCATGGGGGTGGTCTTTGTGTATTTGTTATTTAGTTTTGGCTTAGTCGTAACACCTGAGGAACTTGGTTAATCAAGTGCGGTTGAAGGAGGTGTAGAGTGTGGTGGAGTATGTTTGTGGGAAGTTGGATCATTTGTAGAGTGGAAAGAAACGTGATGAAGGAGGGTGGAGGAGGGTAGGTGGGTGTAGAAGGTAGGTATAGGATGGGGGGGGGTTCGAGACCTCTAGTAGTGCACCTGGTCTGGAGTGTGTGAACCCTGCGTGGTATGTTTTCTTTCTTTCTTTCTTTCTTTCTCTCCCTCCTCGGAAAGAATATATAAGCTGACTCTAATACACTTCAGAGGAGCTAATGAGCCTCGGCTGGCCATTTCACACACACACGACAAAATTCTCTTGACTGGGTACTGAAGAGACGATGCTTCTTTATTTATTTATTTTATTTTTTTATTCTTGGAGACGAATGGCAGATGGTTACACATATATATATACACACACATATATATATACACATATATATATATATATATATATATATATACATATATATATATATATATATATATATATATATATATATATATATATACACACATATATATATACACATATATATATATATATATATATATATATATATATATATATATATATATATATATATATATATATATATAATGTAGATCCACAATGAAAACGTGGATAAGATAAATCTTGATAAAATCACATGGGGAAAAGGGAAACAACGGAGCACCTTAGCTTTCGTCTTTATTCAAGACATCCCGTGTGATTTTATCAAGATATATTTAGTTTTGTCTGGACACTGAAGATATGTTTACATAAAAATATAAAAAAGGTAAAGAAAATGCCCCATATTCTATTTTGTTTTCTCTGGGTGCTGAAGAGAGACGTTGATTACATATACACGTTGAAAAAAATAAAATAAAATGCTTTGTAATTGTTTTGCTCAAGGTACTGGCTGAAGTGTGAGTACAGTAATGTAACAGACTACAAAGTCACATGGGATAGGATAAGTTAGGTAACCGCTAGGATGGTTAATGTTTGAACTAAAATAAGCTGGGTTGGAGATTCTTCAGGTGATCCACTTTAGCCTAGCCGTACTGGCGCAGAAAATACCAGGAATGCTAAACTGTTCCCGACTGGACGATGGTTATGGTAATATGACGGTCACTTGGGTGGGATTTCACGATATTTCTCTGCTGAATGTACACTTATGAGGACCTCGCTGTGCCTCAGGACCTTCGAGTGTACTGTGTGGCCACTGGGTGTACTATGTGGCCACTGGGTGTACTATGTGGCCACTGGGTGTACTGTGTGGCCTAAGGATGTACTACATGAACTCATTATGTATTTATCATTGTACTAAATGACCTTGAAAATATCACATGGCTTAAATTGTACTACAAAATGTATTACACAGCCGCAGAATGTAAGACATGTGTACTAAAAAATATAGTACAACATGATCTCAGAAATGTACTACACGTTCACGGGAATGTAACACAGAACCCGGAGCAAGTTGTGTACGTAACCAACTCCCAAGAATGTTATTGTGTAGACTGTAGAGCCTTCAATGGCTTACAGGTACACACGTAACAGCAACACTACACTACACTACTACATATACCAGCGAAGATAGCCTACATCACCTCCCCACCCCACTCACGCCACCCCTCCCCTTTCCTCCCCTCCCCTTTCCTCCCCATCTACTATCCTCCTCGTGATATTTTCCCCTTGTGGTTGGCGGCGTCGGTTTTAGGAACATTTTTACCCGCGGCCAAACGAGAGAGAGAGAGAGAGAGAGAGAGAGAGAGAGATCTGGGGTCTCTTCTCTCTCTCTCTCTCTATTTAATACACACATATTAAAGTTACTACTAGGCATGCTTTACACAGGGTATGTTCCTCGGGACTCGCTTTATTGTAAAACTTTCTTCATTACTGATTATGAATAGCTGTGCGCTCTGGTAAAAGTGTAATGAGCGGGAGTTACTGATAAAAAATGTGGTGTGTCCGGAGGGGGGAGGGGGGGGGTGTTTTGTTGTGTTGTTGCTGTTATTCTTATCAGTGTTGTTGTTGTTATTATTATTATTATTATTATTATTATTATTATTATTATTATTATTATTATTACTGTGTTTTATTGTTATGGAAAGTCATCCTCACTTTTCTGCTTCTTCATCTTCGTCATAGCATCCTGGATGATAGTCATTTGGTGT